AAGGTCCACCTTCTTATTATCATAGTAATGTCAATCTCTCTCTCTCTCTCTCTCTCTCTCTCTCTCACTAGGGATTGAACCCAGGGCACTTAATCACTGAGCCACATCCCCAGCCCTTGTTTTTATTTCTTATTTTGAGACAGGGTCTCACTAAGTTGCAGAAGCTAACTTTGAACTTGTGCTTTTCCTGCCTCAGCCTCTGAAGCCACTGGGATTACAGATGTGTGCCACTGCACCTGGTCAATAATGTCAAATTCTTGAAGCTGTCCCATTTGGGGGACTTTGGAGATAGGAGAAGAATGAAAAAGTCCATGAAGAATCAAAGACAGGCATCAGAAGTCCAGGAGAACATGGAAAGCATAAGTCTTTATTTTGCTACCATGTCAGTGTCTACCGGATCTTCCTTAAACTTAAGACTTGGAAATAGTGAGGAGCACAGAGCCCAGAAACAACAAGCTGTCTACCTGTGTCAGTGCCAGGTCCACACGCCTGACAGCCAGTGTCCACAGTGTTTCCTAGATGATGAGCTGAAGAGGAACAGGTTTTGAGAATGAGTGTCCTCACAAGTCACATGCTGCAAAAAGGCAGAGTCAGATGATCCCCTGGATTGGAGGTGCAATGTCACTGTTGAATTTGGAGGAGAGCTTTGAATGGGTTCATTGAGACAGATGCCAGGAAGCAACACATTAAGGGGCAGGTTTGGAAAACAGGTGATCAGAAGAGACCACCGCACAGAGTAGAGACCACTATCAAGGAACTTGATGGTGAATCAAAGGAAAGAATGAGGCAGTGGTTTTAGGAGAAGAAATGGGTCAAGGACAGGTTAGTTTTAAACAAACAGCTGAACCGTCATGGGCCACGTGAAGGAGCCCCTGGGGAAGAGACAAGAGGGACATGGGTTGTGGGGCCCACTGCAAAAGTGGGTTCCACAGGTGCGAGCTGACTCTGGGAAGGAGACCTACTCCACCTCAAGCAACGCAGGAGCAACAATAGGTGGACGTGTAAGCTTATGAGGAAGATTCCGGAACACGGAGGCATGATTGGGAGAGCCGGCCCCTGCTCCCCTCTGTTCCTTTAAAGTTAAATTGCCTGGTGGGAGAGAGAGCAGGGAGGCCATCAAACCACTGAGCCATGAGACTGGGGATGGGCCATGTCCTCTCCCAGAGGTGGGTGCCCCTGTGGCCTGGTAGGGCCACGTCCCTTCCCTGCTGGGACCCTGTGTGCAGCAGCCAGCTCTAGTGCACACTCCCTCTTCTGCTGTCAGTTTGCGCAGCATCCCTGGGGCCTGCTGAGCCGGCCTCTGTCTTCAGCCACTCAGAAAGCCTTCTCGTCCTGTGCCCTGCCGGAGTCAACCCGAGTGTGTCCACAGGGACAGTCACGTTCTAAGAGCCCAGCCTGACTGTAGCATGAGGACTCTGTGTCACGGCCAGGTGAACAGGCGCCTGCAGTGGTCTCTCCTCCTCCGCCAGCTCCAGGTGCAGCAGGCACTCCCGGGGGTCCCCCTGGAGACACGTGTCCTGACTCTGCTCTCCAGGAGCCCTCAGAGGTGCCAGTCCACCGGGAACTTTCTCTCCATTTTCCTTGTTCTTGTACTTTTCTCCCAGGTAGTATCAGGTGAGCATGGTGTTCCCTTGGAGGAGGGTCAAGGAGAGCACTTTGGGGGGATTTGGAGCAGTGATCTGATGAGGCACAGGGAGAGCTCTCTGCGGAGAGGTGGTGCAGAAAACAGACGTGGAATCCCTTTGCCCATGTGTCCTCCCTGCCCAAAGCTCAGCAGCCTCTCTGTGTCTGCCAGACCCCTGCATGGGGTCCTGGGGGAGCCTGTCACCACTGGGGAGGCAGCGAGTCAGACAGGATCAGAGCAGTGCAGTGCAGAACAAGGAGGTGACACAAAGTAAGAAGTGGTGGGTCCAGGGACCTTGAGCATCATCTCTCTATGTTAGGTCTTCCCTCTTAAGGAAAGAAGATGAAAAATCGTGGTGTAGGGTAGGGATGGCTGTGCTGTTTGACCAGTCCCAATCCTCAGGGACTCTCAGTGGGAGACCCTGAGAAGATAGCCCTGTGGTTCTCCCCAACGGTCCTTGAGTCCGCGGATCTTGACGACACCTGGGCTGAGCCTCTTCCCTTGTGACTATGCCAGGTTCCCTGGGAACCGCAGGAGAACAGAATGGCTGGGACCGTCAACATCCCTGGGCACCGAGGCCTATTCCACACCCCCAGAGTTACTGACATGATTCGCAGGCAGGCAGTGTAAATACCTTTAAGACCAAAGATTTTTGAAGAAGTGACTATCAGGCTCATCAGCTTAATTGCAAGCACAACTCTCTCAGGCTTTCTTCTTGGTCTTCATGTAAGGAATTTTTGATGGAGTCAAAATTTTAGATGATTAAAACCTTAGTCTAGTTTTTTCTTAATTCATGCTCCCTTATCTGCTGATGCAAATGCTAACTTGTCTGCCCCCCTCCCCACTAGACTTGGGCCAAGCTCGGCTTTTCCCTGCTCCTCAGACTGGTTCTGTGCTCCCCACCTCTGCTGATCCTCCTGGAGAGAACACTGGCTTCTCTGCCTGCCCCACCAGATCCACCACATCCTGGGTCCTGTGACTCACGTGAGCCAGCCCTGTACTCTGGTCTTGTCCCTTCTTTGCATACCCTCGCCTTTCTATCTGCCCCCCCCATCTCTCTCCCCGTCTCTCTCAGTGGTTGGAGCACAATACACAACATCCAATAGAGTGTTCCAAATCCAGTGGTGTTTGCAGGAAACCAAAGGAACCTCTACCTGCATTTCTGCCTGCAAGATGAAGAAATGCCAAGAAAGTTTGCTGGGCAGAGAACACATAAGATACATAAAATATTAGTCCACACTCACAGGGTTGGTGGGAGCAGACGACTCGGTTACCTGGTGGGAAGTAAAGCCTGTGCTTTCCTGGCCCGCTTCCTCCTGTTGTGAACTGGCTCTGGACTTGGGTTTAAAGGCAAGTCCCCTCTAAAGCTGCAGTCCTCGCTGAGGTGCCATCAGGAGACCTGGAACCACGGCAGAGCACAGAGCAGGGTAAACAGGCCCAAGGGTCTCCAGCAGCTGCCGGAGGAGCCAAAGGGAAAAGAAAGGCCATTTTTATTTCCTAAGAAGCTTTTATGAAGCAGTGGTGTCGCCCTAGAAGCGCCTTCTCCCCGCCCAGTCTTCAAAGAAACTTGTTCAACCACGGGTTGGCCTGTGGAGGTCTGGTCCCTGCAGTGATGTGACGGTCTGATGACTCTGGCCCTGCACTCTGAGCCAGGAGCTGGTTAGATCTTGTGCCACACCCAGCCGCACCCTGTGTAAAACATAGTAAGACTACAAAATCAGCACCCATCCCACCCCACAGTCACCTGCTCCTTCCATTTCAAAGCATCTCCAATTGTTTGCTCCAACCCTGAACGTAAGAGCAAAGTTAGGTTTTTAAATGATAAAGTGTCTACACCCCCAAAGTCCTCTTACATCTGCTGATTAAAATCCACTCTTCAGCACGAGCCTCCTTTTCCCTCCATCTGTGCAGCCCTGTGCCTAAACCCTCGCCATGACCCTCTGCCCCACCCTTTGTTATCTGACTGTCTGCCCGTCTGCAGAAGCTACCTGGAGCCCCTGGAGAGGAGAAACCAGGACTTGCCCCTGAGTCTCAGCCTGTGGGTCTCTCACCCACACTGAACACGCGTGCTGGTCTTCACCTGTAAGAGATGCTCGGGGTTGCTCACTGAATCTGCTGGGTGCACCAGTATCCTAACACACTCCTGGACCTCACACCCAGAGCCGCGGTGGGTCCACTGGGATGGCAGCCAGGCAACAGGATGGCTTCAGCTCCCAACTAAATAGGCAATTGGCAGACACAACCCACTGCTTAGACTCCTCAACATTTAGGTCTAATAGCTAAAAAAAGAAGAAGAAATTTTCCCCTCAAACTCTGACTTCATACCCAGTGAAAATCATCTGATCCCTGGACGTTTTTGAAAGCTCCTGAGCCAAGAATAGCACAGGGACTCTCCTCCCCAGGAAAGAGAGGCAGCTATTCAACATTATCACAGCATTGTCCTTCCGAGGAAGTGAGATAAAACACCTTCCTTATAAATTTGGGTAGTTTCACAACCATGATGAAGTACGAGATGTGCTTTACTCTCTGTAGCACCATAAGGGGTGAAGGCAGGGGCTCTTCAGCACAGTTCATTTGTGAACCACCCTTTGCCCACTTATCCCACTCGTTGGCATATACCCAAGGACTTAAAATCAGCATACTATAGTAATAGAGCCACATCAATGTTTATAGCAGTTCAATTCACAATAGCTAAACTATGATAAATGGAAAAAGAAAATATGGTATATATACCCAAATGGATCATTACTCAGCCATATAGAAGAATGAAATTGTGGCATTTGCAGGTAAATCAATAGAATTGGAAACTATCACCCTAAGTGAAATAAACCAATCCCCCAAAAAACAAAGGCCAAATGTTCTCTCTGATATGTGGATGCTAACTCACAATAAGTGGTATGGGGGGATAGAAGTTCACTGGATTAGACAAAGAGGAATGAAGGGAAGGGAGAGGGGTGGGAATAGAAAAGACAGAATGAATCGGATATAACTTTCCTATGTTCATATATGAACACACTACCAGTGAAACTCCATATCACGGACAGCCACAAAAATAGGAAGTTATATTCTATGTATGTATGATATGTCAAAATATATCCTATCATCTAGAAAGAACAAATAAAAGAATATTTCTTCTTTCCTCACCACCTGAGGCCAGTCCTACCCCCCAGATCTGAGAACGTCCAGAGCTGGATTGATCTGGTTCCCAGGAGGGCCTCAGACTCTCTGTCTTTTAAGAAGATGCAGGAAATTAAAAAGTACCACAGTGCAGATAGGTCGACCCCAAACCAGGAACCCTGGCACCACTCCCAGGAGAAGACAGGTCCTGCCCACACCAGCCCCGCCTGTACCCACAGCCGGCTCCAGCCAGTCATGACCAGGCCCCTGAGCCTGGAGGACAGCAGCTGTCCCCATGTCCATAGCAAGCTTATCAGGCTGGTACCAGCTCCTGGGTGAGTGGGTGTGACCTGTGCAGAGAGAGAGATGACACATCGGGAAGTACGTCATCTTGTCATCACTGTGACATTACAAGAATTGCAGCCATGGCTCACCTCTTTATAAACGTGAACCCGTGCACCTTTCAGTCCAGCCTCAGCCTGCTGCGAAGCCGGTCAGCCATGCGGATCCTGTACCTGCTGGGCGTGTTGCTCCTCTTGTTCCTGATGCCCGTTCCAGGTAAGTCAGGTGGGAAAGAGGGGCTGAGAGGAGCAGTGTCAGCGCATCCAGGCCTCTCCATTCTCCAACATTCCCTGGGTGGGACCAGGGGAATTGTCTTTGGCAGCTGACCAGTCAGGGCCAGCCTCACAGCAGGCTCCTGCTCCTGCTCCCTCTGCTAATAGCACCTCTTCACCCGCCTCCTGGTGGGAGGACTGGTAAGGAGATGTGGGAAAGTGCTACTCAATTTCAGCCTCGGAGGAAACCTGGGCTGGTTCTGTGAGCAGAAGCAGAGGCTTCTGGTTCACTAAGCTTAGTGGTCAGAGGGGGTGGGCCCAGGACACTGCACCCACAGAGATCTGCAGTTTCCCCCCAGGGGACATTGACTACTGCCTGCTGGGCTCCGCCTTCCCTTCACTCTTAATTTTATAGCCAAGCAGGGAAGGAAATAGAACCCTGGAAGGCAGCGAGTGAGTGACTGAGGAACTCCTGAAGCCTGGAATTTGTCCCAGGACCCCTCCTAGAGCCCCCTATACCTTCTATTTTTCCTTTGCAGGTCACAGCGGGATCATCAGCGCAGTACAGAGGTACTATTGCAGAATACGGGGTGGCCGGTGCGCCGTGCTGGGCTGCCTCCCCAAGGAGGAGCAGATAGGCCGCTGCTCTCTCCGGGGTCGGAAATGCTGCCGCAAAAAGAAATAGGGATCAGACGTGAGGAGAATGTTGGGGCGATCCCTCCTTCAAGTTTATAAAGCTAAAACCAAATTTAAATTTTTTTTCAAAAATTTAGAAGCTTGATTTTTTTTTTTTGAACACTCTGGTTTTGTGGAAGTTGATACCAAGCAGGCAACTGAGAGAGGCTAATGACACCTTCCATTAAATACATCAGCTTCTGCACCGTGTTTGATTTTCGTGGGTTTTGGAACTCGGCAACACTGGACTCTTTCTGGAACATTCCTTTGCTCCCTCATCCTCCATACTCCTGGGCTTTACCGTCCTTCTTCCCAGGACTTCATCTCTCTGAAGCCACCTCTAAAACCTTAATGCATCCCTCAGGCACCAATCCAAATCCTTCCAGAAAGTTTCTCCTCAGAGACGGGGACCCTGAGCCTCCTTTAGTATACCCTTTGCTTTCCTGCTGCCCAGGCCTCTGAGCTGTGGGCCTCAGAACTGGCATCAGCTCACTGCTCCCACCTGTCTCCAAACGCTAGCCGCCCGTGTCTGTCTCCTCCCGCCTGCTGCACCCCGGGCTCTGACGTGAGTGCTGCCTCTGAAGGTCGCTCGGTGTCTCCCCCGGTCCATTTGCACACTGTGGGTCCCCACGCGGGTGGTAGGACTGTTGGTAAAGCGCCCTGAGCATGGGGGCTGCTCGGCCAGCACTGGCTGGACCAACGTCCATTCATGAGCTTTGGATCATCCACTGTTTAAGGATCCAGCATCTGGAGTGATGGTCTGTCCTCCCTGACCCCAGTCCCCCAGGCTAAGCACTATGGTGGAACAGCAAGACTACTGGGCTCTCAGGGATAGGGGAATGAAGACCCCTGGAGCAGCCCACACCCCACCCACCATCCATCCAGGAAGCATTGCTGAGTGCCCTCCAACAGTCCACAAGAAGGGGCCAGACAGAAGGTGAGGACAGGCACCATCCAGTGGGGGACGTGACTGCAGGCAGAAGGAAGCAAGAGGAGCTTATGACTGGCCGACCTGCTACTGGGCAGGGCCTGCAGGTGCCAGGAGGGGCCTCACCCTGCCCAGCAGTGCAGCCGGGTGGAGACTGAGGTCATAACTATGGGCACAAGACCCCTTCTGCAGGGCAGAACTTCCTCACAGGTGCTGTTGGGGAAGGGGGCTTCAGTCAGCCACAGGAAAGCAGAAACACCCAAGGTTTTAGATGAAGTCCAGGCACACACAGGGCTGGAGGCACACACAGGGCTGGAGGCACACAGGCTCCCACTAGCACCGGCCTCCAGTCTCCCCTGAGGGATGCCATCAGCTGCGTGGAGCTCTCCAGGGAGCCTCTGCAGCTGCTCTAACCCGGAGCTTCTAGAGATGAAAATAAACATCTGAATTAAAATATACTGAGCTGGACAAATGGTGTGTGACGGTAAGGATCAGTAAGCCAGCATCTGTTTTAGCACCAACAAATGAGAAAGTGAAGCAGAGTGAGAGTAAAAGGAGAGACTGGGAAAACCTTAACAGAGGGCTGAGTGCAAACCTCACCAGCCCAGCCTCGGGCTGTGCTTGGAGTCAGAGGAAGCCAGAGGAGGAGACAGGAAACAATGGCCTGCTGTTGTCCAGCTCTGGTGAGACTGCGACCCACAAAGGGAGGACTCAAAGAAATAGGAGCAGAATGAACAAAGACAGCCACACCAAGCACATCAGAATCGGAGTATTTTAAATGTGACAAAAAGAACATCTTACAAACAGCTCGAGAAGACACATTGCTCAGAGAGAGGATCAAGCACGCTTCCCACCAGGGTCCACAGGAGCCGTGTGAGGCCCCAGTTCCACACCAGCAGGATCGCTTCACAAACCAAAGCAAAGACCCCACTATGTCAGCTACACCCAAAAGACACAGGAATCCCTCCCGGGAAGTCCTGCACCAGGAAATGCAGGCGTGGAGGAGAGTCTCTGCAAGATGGAAGGAGCAGGCTGCCCACATTCCAGACACCTCAGGAAGGGAGAGATTGCAGCAGGTGAGAAACAAGAGCCAAAGGCACGCTGTCCATCAGGAAGAATAGGCCACAATGACACCCATTGTGCTGTGTAATTAGTAGGCACTAATAAAGACCCACTGTGCATGTCAAATACAAGGACAAAGTTAGGTCAAAGCAGAAAGGATAGAACCAGACATATAAAAACATTAATCTAAAGAAAACATTGGTTAATTGATTAATCTTGGTTTAATTGGTTAATTGGTTGATCTATTGGTTAATTGATTACAGATCAGAGCAGACTTTAGAACAAGCAGTGTATTACCAGAGATAATGAGGGTATTTTTTCTAAAGATAAAATGGTTAAATCACAGGAAAAAAAAAAGCAAATAATCAGTACACATCTAATAGAATCTAATAGAAATTGTTAAGAAAAATTGTGGAAATGAGAGAATAAATAAACAAATTAAGAATTGCAACAGGATATTTCAACATTTTTTTTCGTTGTAATGGATGGAAAAACAGACAGAATAACAGTAGAGAAGCCTTGAATGACAGTGTCACCGAGTGTGACCTTTGTGAAATTCATAGGACACTCCACTCACTAACAGTAGAATGCATTAAAAGTCACCCAGTACGGCCCACCCTGAGCCAGGAAACAAGTCTCAAAAAGCAGAACAGTTTGAAACCATACAAAATATGGTGTCTGGACACAGTGGAACCTACAAAGCTATTGATAACAGAAAGATATCTGGAAAAGGTCCCAAATATTTGGAAATTAATCAACTTACTTCTAAATATTCAAGAAGGAATCACAAGAGAAATTAGGAAACATTTTGCAGTGACCGAAAAGGAAAGCAGGACACTCCAAGGTCTGTGGGAGAGCAGCTGAGGTGCTTCTTAGAGGGAATTTCATGGCATTAAGTGATTTTAGGTAGAAAGGAGAGAAACTCCCTAGTTGACAGTCTAAGTTTCCTCTAAGAAATGAGATGTTAAAACACAAAGCAAATAGAGGCAGGTGGGAAGAAAATGGGCGCGCAAAAGAGAATTTTTAATAAAAATGAAGCTTATTCTTTGAGATGATGAATAAAAATTTTAGAACTCTCATTAGGTTCATTAAGAGGAAAAAATAATTACAAAATCCTTGGTGGCGTGCATATACCTGGGGTGCTTATGAAGCTTGCACATAGCTTGGGGCAAACAGGAAAATGGGAATGGCTGACATGACATACAAAGAATCGCCACAAGGTGGCAGTACCTCGCACCGTTGTTCCTGGCCTTCAGAAGGCCTGTCATGCTCTCAGCCCTCCCGTCAGCTCAGGAGGCTGGAGAGGATGGCAGCAATACCAGGGGAGGCTGGCGTCCAGCAGGCAGCTGTCACTCTAGCCGAGGGGCTGTGGGAGAAGGAAGGCGCGAAGTGGTCAGGACGCCAGGGCGATTTCATTAATCTGCACCAGGCACGTCCGTAGGAGGACTTGGAAGAATGGCGGTTTTCAGTTCTGATCCCACCTCTGAGGCTTAGCAGCCAGGTGACCACGGGCCTTCACCTTTCCAAGTCCCAGGACTGTCATCTGTACAGCTGAGCCGTGCCTACCTGGCAGGTGCACGGAGGAGGGATGAATGGCATATTGTGTCTGAATGTGGCCATAAGAGCTATAGAACTGGCAAAGCTCCGAGCAAAATGAAAATGCACAAAAGAAAGTGATGTTAGAGGAGGATGTCAAGCGTTTTCCTTCAAAAATGTAATTTGCAGAATGAAATAGGACTCCCATTATAGAGGAACGATAACAGAAACTGAAAATTGAAACGAATATTTTGGTGTCGTAATTTTACTACAACAAATACTACTTTATATTAATAAAGTAGTATCTTGATTGATAATATAATTTTCCTGGCCGGCTTTCCTGAAAACTCATTTATTAGGTCATCAGCATTTATACTTTGAGCAACGTTGTTGTTGTTATTATTATTTTTAATTTTGAGAAGAATCTGCTAATACAACTGTGCTGGAGTAAAGAGGATCTGACAGCTGTAACAATGTTGAGATGAAGCTATTTTGAAACATAAATCTAGATCAACCAGTCATAGAGGTGAGAGAATTTGCTTTTGAAAGCCTGCCAACTGGAATGGAGCTGCACTCCCTCCTGGGGCCCTGAGCCCCTCTGCCTGGGAGGAACAGCCTCAGCTCCCCCTTCGGTTTAGGGAAGAGCTTTGTGGGTGCAGCACTTATCTCTCCTTTAAGGAGCAAGACACAACTGTACTTCTCAGCCCAGGCTGGATGGTTACCATTGCACACCCAGCCTGGCTTCTTCTTGAGCTTAGATAAGCAATCAGTTAGACTCCACCTAAACTCGACACTTCCCCAGGCCCCATAGTCGCTCCATCTCTGGCTTTTGGTGAGGGAGCCATGTTTGTGCTGGCCTGTGGTCTTACAGGTCAAGGCCAGGAAGTGATCCTGCCTTTGAGAGTGCCTTACTGAGCTGGGGTCTCTATCAAATGAGCTTCATCACCAAGGTAGCAGCACAGCCGCAAAGGAGGCATCTGGCACCAGGTGCTGTCAGTCACAGGAACCCCTGGTGGGAACACAGCACCCCCTGATGCAGCTGTCCTGGAGACCCTGAAGGGTACTCTTCCCCAGGGACACAGGGTGATGTGTCTCTCAGTGGTTTCCCTACTTCAGATCAACTTTTCCTCCTTCTCCAGTAGGTCTTCACAATTGCACAGAGATCTAGGCAGAACAGAAAGTAAGCAGACAAAATGCTACTGGTGGTTCTCTGGGGTTGGGACACAAGTGGGAAATCACACTTTTGTACAGGTGGACTTTTAAATGTCAGTGAGCTATGTTTGTAATAATTGCAAGCACATGACTCACTAGAAAAGGGTGAATAGGATTAATGCCAAACAGGAAAAAGATGGCAGCCATTAACTTCCTCAACCTCAGAGCCCAGTGAAGCCCCTTCCTAAGTATTATGGCATTCTATAAGACTGCCGCTCAAAAAAGAAAGAAAAATACACGGGGGGGGGGGGGGAACCATCTAACTCAATGTGTGACTCTAGATTAAAAATAGACTAGGAAAAAATATCAATAGATACAAAACCCCTAGGGGAAATGCAAATAATGATTAGATACTAAATGAGATTAGGAATTATTCTCTCACATGTGTAAATGGTATAGGGATTCAGGTGAGAATTTTCCCTTGTTCTTAAGAAGTGCATGCTGAGAGAATCAGGTGCTGTACCACGATGTGTTATGAGTTGGATCTTAATTAAGTGTCCCCCGGACGTCATGTGCTTGGTCCCCAGCCTGATGTACTGTTATGAGGTGGTGGAACTTTTAGGAGCTGGGGTCTAGCAGAAGTCAGGTCATTGGAGCCATGACCTTGAAGGAGATATTAGGACCTGCCCCTCCCCTCTGCTTCTCCTGCCATGACATTCCACCTCAAGACAGTCCCCCAAATGATGGAGCCATCAACCACAGACCAAAGCCTCTGAAATTGTGAGTCAAATAAACCTTTCTTCCTTTTGAGTCTCTCACATATTTTTTCACAGTGACAGAAAACTGACCAACACATGATGTTTGCCTCTTGTCATCAAAAAACTAAGAGAGATACATCTAATATATATATATGGATATATTGGGAGGGTACCAGGGATTGAACTCGGGGTCACTTGACCACTGCGTCACATCCCCAGCCCTATTTTGTATTTTATTTAGAGACAGGGTCTCACTGAGTTGCTTAGTGCCTCATTGTTGCTGAAGCTGGCTTTGAACTCATGATCCTCACCCTCCTGAGCCACTGGGATTACAGGTGTGCGCCACTGCTCTCAGCTCATCAAACATTTTTTTTAAAAAATAAACAATTCAGGCTAAGCATATTCAAGATTTTTAATTTTTTTTTTTTATTCAGTGTTTTCCGTACGCTTCCTTAGCCTGGAAGAAATACTCTGAGTGTTGAGTGAGTGACATGCTTCTCTACACAGTCCAGAGGAGGGGCGTGCTGTTGTGGTGACCAGAGCCTGAGCATTGATGGGACCTCCTTCACGGCTTCACCAGCGTCCCAACCCAGGCCTCTGTCTCACATGATCCAGAAGTCATCACTTCTTGCCAACACAGCATTGTCACCAGCGTCCTCTCAAAACACCTCGAATTAGGGAATAAGACAGAGGTGACTAGAGGCTGGGACAGGGACGGGGAGGGGAAGAGAGAGAGGTCGAATAGCAGGGACAAAATACAGATAGGACAAGTGAGTCCTTGTGTCCTGTTCCCAGGAGAGTCGCTGGAGAAGACAACAACAGAAAGTGGGTAGACTTCACACTCCACACTTCAAAACAGCTCGAAGACGTTCCCAACGCAGAGAGATGATCAGTGTTTGGATGGATGTGCCAACCATCCTGCGTTGACCATTGCATGGATTGAAATGTCACCCTGGACCAGGGAGAGCCCAGACACAATGCTGTCCTCCCTGTCTGCCTCTGTGGAGTGAAACACACACCCACCTGAGTCAGTGCCCGTCTTCCCGGGTAGATGGGGACTTTCAGGAGATGTCTCATGTGGATCTCACTGTCCTGTGATGACCTGGGACAACAGGGCTCCCTTGTCTCTTCCTGAAGCCCTGACACCCTCCTGCCCACCCCTGGGAACTCTGGGTTCAGCACACTCTATTCTATTTCATCATAGGACCTGACCATGCCCAGGGATGGATAGAAGGAGGTGGAATTCATTCCTACTGTGGCCTCAGACTGTCCACAGACTATCAGGAAACAGAAAGTGGGTAGACTTCACACTCCATGGAGCAGGCAGGTGACCTCTAGGGCTCAAGCCCATCTGTGCCCTGTGAGGCAGGCCCAGCTCCGGACCCCCTCCATCCAGGGACCTAAAGGAGTAGGCAGCAGCAGCTCTTGGTTGCAAGGGTGGAGGACAATTCCCTGGGGTTTCCCACATCCTGATTTGCATCAGGACAACTGGGTGTGCCTTATTCCCTAAGGGCTATTCCTCTGACACACCAGGAAAGATGTCATTTTAATCCCGGCAATTACAAGGACCAGAGCCAGTAACAAATTGTATAATTTCCAGGAACCGGGAGCCCGGACCTTTATAAGGCCAAGCGCTGGGCGCTCTCAGCAGCGTCTGCTGTGGGTCCACCAGCCTCGCCATGAGGATCCGGTTCCTCCTCCTCGCGTTCCTCTTGGTGTTCCTGCTGCCTTCTCCAGGTGAGATGGGCCACGGGGAAGAGGAGGGGACACAGAGAAGGCAGGAAGTCTCTCTCCTTCCCGGTCCTCCACCCTGTCCCTTCGGTCTTTCTTCCTCTCTCCCTCCTTCTGCCCGTTTCTGCCCCTCCTCCTTCTCTTTCTCCTTCTCTTACTCTCTCTCTCCTTCTTCTTCCCTCTTGATTCTCTATCTCCTCTCCTCCCTTCCTCTCCTTTCCTCTCATCTTTCTCTGTTCTAAGCACAGTTTTTGGGCCAAGTAGCTTGTATGA